CTGTAATCAGAGAAAAAATAAAAGAGGAGATTAACACATACTGTTCAACAACATCCGGGACTTGACTGTAATTCAATTATTTTTTTATCACTGTGTCAATGGTCATTATAAAGCAACGAACGAAACATTGAAATATAGGTGTTTCGGGAGATCATGGTTATTTCAAACAAATTGCAGGGTTATTAAAAACAAAATTTCTCCCGCACATGAGAAACATCGTGATAAAGTTGTTCACGTGTGTGTAACAAGGGTCTCCCCCCTCGTTTTGCCGGACGCAAGTTTTGCGGTTCGCGAGTCAAGCACGAATAAAGGGGTTTAAGCAGATATCGATGCCAATTCGGTGTATACTCCTCCGCCGATCCGGTGGAAGGAGGCTAAATTAGCTGCGCACAATAAAGTATGTATAGAACGGGGGGGGGGGGTGGTAGGTGAACCCTCTTTTTGCGATTATTAGAGTACGGGAAAAAAAAGGGGGGCAAGTATCGAGCTTTGTGTACAGTCGTATTCCTCGGAACGGCCCCATCCCGAATAACTCTTTCTTTACTCCTGTATCGTTTTGTGCGCTCTCGAGTGCCACCGCTAGCCAATACTCGAGTTACTGGCAGTCGAGTGGTCTCGGACGGGAACTCGAAAGACGTCTGAAAAGTGAACGGGCCTCTCGCCCCTCCCCCCCCCCTCGACTCCCCATAGTCTCCCAACAGCGAAAAAAAACGCTTATAAGAAAATTGCTGCCTTTAAATATCTTATTCCCGCTCTGTATATATGGGTACCTATACCTCCCGTGTCCAGTCTTCGGTTTTAACTTTTTAGCGAACAAAAAGTCGATAGGCACGAATTATTTGTGCAGACGACAATAATAACAATGAAAAAGAAAAAAAAGGAAACGCTGTTCACTTGGTTTTACACAAACTTCAGTCTTTGTGCTGAAAATGTTGTATCGTAGAAAAGTTTTTTTTTTTTTTTTTTTTTTTTTTTTCGTACATGCATCAATTTCCTCTCAACGACATATTGCACATTATGGCTAATAAAAACTCGATAGAGCATCCCCTTTCCTGTACTTGCGTTCTTGCATCATACAGCCCACACAGAGGCAAGGCCGAGCATCGACTTACGCAAACTTGCGAGACGCGCGGGCGAGGGCTCTGTGCACCAATACAAGGCCTCGTCGTCATCATCGTCATCGTAGTCGCCCCCCCCCCCCGCGATATTTGCACTGACGTGAGCTCTATTCCCATGCGTTCCTATTACGAGAATCGTCAAGTAGCTCTGCTCTATGACGCTTCTCATTCTCGGTCTCGTCCTGCTCGGTGTGTACCCTATATATATACACGCGCACTCGCGAGGGAGAAAAGACAACTTCTTGGGCAAACATTGCGAGTGTCCTGACTGACTGGCCCACGCGCGGGACGACATAAAAGAGGAGGTATACCTATCTTGCGAGCTTTTCACATGAGGATACGCGGATGCGGTTTTTTTTCTTCTTTTTTTTTATTATTCCGTCTTTACACGCGCCACTGTAATAAGCTCCACCCCCCCCGCTTCTTTCTTTCTGGTTTTTGATGTGTTGTTATACTGGTGCAATGTTTTTCTTTTCTTTTTTTTTTTTTTTTTTTTATTTCACAAGTACACTTTGATAAAGGTTCCGAAGATTATTTGAAATAAAGCATACGCGACTCGTCGATCCGTGTCGTATGATTTTTCCACGAGTGGCTTCGACGAAAAAAAGGCGTTATCGGTGACGCACGCTGGCGGACAAATACTTTCCTTGGCACACAAATTTATCTCCACCGAGGCGTATACACATGTGAGCAGAGCTGAAGATAAGGACGCGAGGAAATTCAATATTCAGCTTTGAAGCGATAGTTTTTAAGTCTGGCGAACAATCATGTATTAGGGGGCGGAAGAGCGAGCGCGCGCCTTCTCGACGATGTACAGACTACCGGGTGCATATATATGGGTACACAAATAGCTGTTTTCTCAAACTTTCCATAAAACATAATCGATGATCGCTCGTCACAGAGCAGCGAGTCTGTTTGTTTTGACATTTCATTTTTTTTTTCTCGCGTATCTTCGCTCTTAATAATTTAATTATTTATTTGTATATATAGAAGAAGTGAAGAGTGCGTGTATCATCCCCCAGTGTACTTGGATACCGGCGCGCTGTACCGATCCTCTGCTCGTTTCTGTATATACAAGCAACAGCTGAGCGGCTTAATGCACCTGCCTTCAATGGACCGTCGAACGCGTATACTTACACGAACGTACGTGCGCTGGTATAGCTGCTCCCGGCCACGTGCCACTTCCTATACATGTATACACAGAGAGATCGCAGATGCTGCGCAGTCCCGCACGTACTAGTACATAGGTATATATAATATAGAGTCTCTTTTTCTTCCCGACTCTGATGTATACCTTCGACACACACACGAGACGTCGATCGATGCGAGACGAGCGGAAAAGGAGAGACCGGAAAATTTTTCCCGAATGGGCCAAAGACCGTTATTGGAAATTGTATTTTTCGACAAATGCGCGTGCACGCGGTTTCATCAATGCCTATATACATATATTTATCGAGTATGACAGCTGAGTTTGAGAAAAATGGATATTCATCGTGATTAATTATGTACATCATCGCACTGTTGCCCACCTAATTGAAAACGAAGAGTATCAAATTGATTTCGGCGTGTACACCTACACAAGCGTGCGTTGATCTTCTTCCGTCAACAGTCTGTCGTTTCGAGCGATCCCCATGAAAGGGGGGTGGGGAGTAATTTTACATCCCGTCTGTTGCATCTAATCCACGAGATAAGCGTACAACGTCTACTGGCGAAGGATTGAGAAAAAGCAAACAATCGACTCGCACGGATTATTCATTGAAATTACATTCAAGACCAACGACCCCGTGCATCTGTGATCACTCGGCAATCAAATATAGCCGCATAAAAAATTCAAAAGCCACCCCCCACCCCCCTTGAATATACATTGGACACCCCGAGGTATAAGAAAAACCGTGATGGACTCGAGAATGCATATAAAGACCGATACTAAGCTTGTTATTGTTGAAGATTCAATTGTCCAGCCAGTCATCGGCGCAATAAATATAATATGGATCAGTGCATTGTACAAGAGTAAAAGCGCAAAAACTTCGTCGACGGACACATCCAGCACCTCCGATCACAGATGCGCGCATCATCTCGATAAGTTATCTGGAGCTCGTCGAGCGTACGCGTATACGTACACGCCTTTTATCAAAGCAGCAAAGACCCCCCCTCCTCCCTCTGCCCTGTACTCCTCTGACTCGACTTTGAAGCCGTTTGCAGCTATACGCCTGCCATATGGTCCTCTCCCCGACGAACAGACACGCTCGTGTGCTATAATATACACACAAGTGAACAGCTACAACTTATACATAGACACAAAGACAACGACGTGCGACGTCGCAGCACATATAGTCGTCGAGGCGCGATAAGGTCGAAAACAGTTTAGCTCCCCAAGGGGGCGAGTGTGTATACGTGTATATATAGCTTCGAGGGGGGGCCCCCACCCTTGGGACGATGGTTTTTACCTTGGCTCACGCACCTTTGCTCGACCTGCGGGCGCGCCTTCATGCGTGGGACAGAGTGTGCGCGGGCGAATTACGTGTTACACGTCCACCGCCGCGTAACAAAACGATAGAGGAAGGAAGGAAGGAAAAGAAAGGGCCACCGGTGTTTGGCGTCGGAAATGGCTTCGGAAACAACGGGGGCCCCCCTGCCGTGTGCGCGTGTATATATATATATATATATACTTGGATGCTTTCGGAAGTACGAGCGGGAAGGAAGCTAATTGCCACGAGCGAGCCTTTATACGCCGCGCGTAAAGAGCATAGGTACCTGAAATGACGAATGGGAAAAAAAAAAAAAAATAGAGGCCACCTTCTTTTTTTCCGTGATCGTCATTGTTGGCGCGATGCGCTAAAGATAGTGTAAGCACAGCCATAGGCAAAGGAGGAAGCTGTTTCATTGTCTTCCGGTTACGGCTGACCCGGCGTACACACGCGTTTATACACACGTATGTATATATAGGTACGGTCTCTTTTCGCGTACATTTATCGTGCCGCCTCGGCGGATCTGTGGAATTCTAATGTAGTCGGCGACGACGAGCCGCAACATTGCCACACTCCGTTTCGCTTTCATTATTCGTGTATATGTAGCGTTACTATGTACGTGCGTATAATATATATACATCGCGTGCATTGCGCTACTTTTTCCCTCCGCCCCGTCTTGCTTAGCTGGACAATGGATTATTTACCAGTACCTTTGTGCTTCGACGAACGAATCGCTGGATTTTTAGTTGAAACTTTTGAGACCGATCCACATCAGCGATTATCTTGTCTAGTCAAAGCAACTTTACAAACGTTGTTCCAAACTTCGAGTATGTACATATTATACATAGCTCAATCGCTCGTCCAAGTTACACTCAAGTTTCGCGATTCGCGTCCATAATGTAGTTTGATTGAGGAACCTACAGCTATACCTCGTACATCCCGGATCACTGGACTCTCCAAGGCAATTTCGCACTTTCGAGTCGAAACAACGCGCTACGAAGGACAAAAAAAACAACCCACAACACCGTACGATGCTACAGCTCCTTGTTTTTCTGTTTTACCCGAGCATCCCCCTACAACCCCTGCTACATGGCTATTCGTGGCTGTACAGGTATTTGTATGAATACATCGCGCACATGTCGCGTGTACTGTTATATATATGTATATCTCGCGTGCGTGCGTGTCCGCGTATATGCACAAGGTGGGCGACATGTGCATCGGAATTTCCAAGTCTCCCCCCTGTGCCGAGTGGGTATAGTCGACGAGGGGTCAAAAGAGGTTCGCAGGGGGGCCCCCGGCGCCCTTGCATATTTATACACAAGTAATAAGCCCACACGGCATGGGAACCCAATAGTAATCACCGGTCCATGTCCATCGCGCGCATAATGCCCCGTAATGGCGGCCCGTTTACCCG